GAAAGCGTGAACGACTGGGCAATTCCCTCCTCACGACAGAACTCCTCAAAGAGGCGGGAGGAAAACTCACCACCTTGGTCAGCGTGCAGTCGTAGGACCAGGAGGTCCTGCTGGAACCGCGCACTCAGCTGGCGACGGATAGCGCGGATCCAAGGGATCAAGACACTGCGGACATCCACCTTGCTCTGCAAGGGGAAGACCGTGGTGTAGCGCGTGTAGTCGTCAACAACCAGCAGAAAGTAGCGCTCTCGGTCCTGTCCACTGACGCGGGCTGGGCCCCACACGTCCATGTGGAGAGTCTGCAGAGGAGCAGTGGTCGGAGGAAACGAGGAGGAGTGAGGAGCGGCGCGCTGCCGCCCCTCAACGCAGGGAAGGCACGGCGGTGTAAGTGACCGTGGGAGCGGGGGCAGGGACCAGGGGAGGCCAGAGACAAGGAGACGGGAGTGCATGATATGCAGACGCGGCAGAGAGGGGTGACCCAGACGGTGGTGCCAGAGGAGAGACGGGTGCGTGAGTAACCGACACGAGCAAGACGCAGCTACTAGTGCAGACTCAGTGGTCCCTGTGTACAGGCCAGACCCGGGTCTCCGAGTGAACGTGGCAAGGTGGGCGCCAGTCCGTGAGTCCGTACAGATCGCCACAAGCTTACCCCCAAGAGTAGTGGTAGTGACCAACTGGTCCTGGAGGACAGCGTTACTAACCAATTTCGTAGCGAACGAGGGGAGGTGGAGACCTTTGAGGGAGCCGGAGGGGGCCGCCGGACACGGGAGAACGGTGGAGCCATGTGCAATGACTGGGCCACCAGAGGGGTCACCCAGAGTGACTGGGACAGGTGCAGTGAGCAGTGTGACTGTGGTGCAGTCGCGGAAGAAGCAGCGAGACGCGCCTGAGTCAATCGTGAAGGTATGCAAAGCCTCCGTAGGAGCTGCACCTGTGCTAGCAGGCTCACAGGCACCTAGACTAGCAGCCTCTACACCAGCAGCTATAGGCACACACGAGTAACAGTCACCCTCAACACTAGCAAAAGCAGCATACATAGCATACATGCCAGCAGATATCTTCTCCCAATTAAGAACAAACATATCTACCCCCCTCTAGAGCAATCCTAACCAGTTAGGGATCTCAGTCTCTTCACCAGACTCGGCACGGAAGGCATCCTCAAGATGGAAGAAGCAGCGATACTCGGTGTGCCCCATCTTGCAGCAGGGGTCACCAACCCGTGGACCCGTGCGCCTGACGTAGGTGCAACGACCACTACCCCCAGAGGAGCCACGCTGGACAACCCACTCACGAAGCTGGTGGGGCGAGAGAGGCTCCTGCCGGCGTGGCTGGTGCTGCTCTCCACCCCCAGAGCCTCCGCCGCCACGAGCTACACCCCCAGACACTGCCCCAGAGCCTCCAAACCTACCCGCTCCACCTCGACTGCCACCCGAGCCCTCTCCGCTTACCCCACTGCCTCCACCACCCCCGCCACCTCCATCGCTGCCACCACCTCCTCCACCCCCTCCACCACCACCGCCACCACCCCCGCCAGCGCCACCCCCACCACCCTTTCCCCCCTTGCCCTTGCCACTGCGGCGCCTCCCCCTAGGAGCAGACGCAGCACCGACCTCCTCAGCACGAAGGAAGTCAACACCAGCAGCAGAGGCAACGGAGGGCGCGAGAAGGGAGGGGGAACACCCTTCAAAAAAGGAGGGGAGGGGGGTGCCGCGGGAGGCGGCAACAGCGTGGGCACTGGTCTCAGCCTCTAGGAGACGAGTCTCAAACGAGGCAAGCGTGAGCTCAGTGGGGTCGATTGAGAGGAAGTGGTCCCTAATGGCGCGGAGAGAGTCAGGGAGGCGAGTCACGAGGATGTAAAGAGTGATGTACAACGGGGGCAGGTTCCCTGCTAGAAAGGCCGGCTTGAGAGCAGTGCGGTAGCGAGTGTCACTAGAGCGTAGGTGGGTCATAAGATCAGCTACAGTGGGGAAAGAGATACGACAGCATGAGACAACCTAGGGCAGCTACAGCTCAGGAAAGAGATACAGCAGCATGAGATCAGCTACAGCTCAGGAAAGAGTTACGGCAGCATGAGATCAGCTACAGCTCAGAAAAGAGATACGGCAGCATGAGACGGCCTAGAGCAGTGAGGTAGCGAGTGTGACTAGAGATACGGCAGTATGAGATCAGCTACAGCTCAGAAAAGAGATACGGCAGCATGAGACGGCCTAGAGCAACGAGGTAGCGAGTGTCACTAGAGATACGGCAGCATGAGATCAGCTACAGCTCAGGAAAGAGATACGGCCGCATGAGACGGCCTAGGGCAGCAGTAGGGGGGGAGGAGATACGGCAGCATGAGATTAGTTACAGCTCAGGAAAGAGATACGGCAGCATGAGATCAGCTACAGCTCAGGAAAGAGATACGGCAGCATGAGATCAGCTACAGCTCAGGAAAGAGATACGGCAGCATGAGACGGTCTAGGGCAGCAGTAGGGGGGGAGGAGATACGACATCATGAGATCAGCTACAGCTCAGGAAAGAGATACGGCAGCATGAGATCAGCTACAGCTCAGGAAAGAGATACGGCAGCATGAGATCAGCTACAGCTCAGGAAAGAGATACTGCAGCATGAGACGGCCTAGGGAAGCAGTAGGGGGGTAGGAGATACGGCAGCATGAGATCAGCTACAGCTCAGGAAAGAGGTACAGCAGCATGAGATTAGCTACAGCTCAGGAAAGAGATACAGCAGCATGAGATGGCCTAGGGCAACAGTAGGGGGGGGGGGAGATACGGCCACATGAGATCAGCTACAGCTCAGGAAAGAGATACGGCAGCATAAGATCAGCTACAGCCCAGGAAAGAGATACGGTAGCATGAGACGGCCTAGAGCAGCGCGGTAGCGAGTGTCACTAGAGCGTAGGTGGGTCATACGATCAGCTACAGTGGGGAGCTCAGGAAAGAGATACGGCAGCATGAGACGGCCTAGGGCAGCAGTAGGGGGGGAGGAGTAGCGCTTGACTACAGCGTCATAGAGCTCTTTGGCAATCTTCAGCTGGCCAAAATGGGGCCTCTCATCTAGCGGGAGGTGGTTGCGGACAGCAAGGCGGGCGATAGCATCGCGCGTGAGCCATTGGGAACGAGCTACACGGTCAGTCGTCTCATCAGGGGCAGGAAGGGACCCCGGCGTATGCTCATACAGTGAGATATCGTCCCTAGCTACGTTCTGCAGGTGCAGTTGGAGATCCTCTAGCCAAGATTCAAACTGGATCGGGCGGCCCTCCGCGTCAAAGGTAAGCACAGTAACAATTGCCATAGCAGGCGATAGCAGCAGTAGTAGTAGCAGCAGCAGCAAGAGCAGCAGCGGCAGCGGCGGCTGTAGGAAGGGCGGCCGGGGCAGCAGGGCGCAGCTCGCTAAATAGGGCGGCAATGCAGGAGCAGTGGCACAGCAATGCAGCAGCGCAGCAGCGGCAGGACAGGGCAGAGTGCAGCAGCGGCAGCAGCACAGCAGCTGCTCGGGACGGAAGGGCAGGGCAGAGCGCAGCAGCGGCAGCAGCAGCTCAGCAGGGCAGGGCAGAGCCGGGCAGCACGTGCAGGACAGCGAGCGCGGGCAGCGCAGGCAGTGCGCGGGCAGCGCGCGTGGCTGGCGCAGGGGGGTGTGCAGGCGGCGCAGGGCAGCGTGCGGGCAGCGCAGGGCAATGCGCGGGCAGCACAGGCAGGGCGCACGCAGGCGGCGCAGGGCAGCGCGCGGACAATGCGGGCTGCGCGCGCAGCGTGCGGGCCGCGCGCAGGGCAGGGCGGGGCTAACGCGCGGGGCAGAGCAGCGTTAGCGCGCAGGGCAAGGCAGTCGCGCGCGGATCAGCGCGCGGGGCAGGGCAGTCATGATCGTTAGGGGCAGGGCGGCACTAGCGGGCAGGGGGGGTCGCGATCGTTAGGGGCAGGGCAGAATTAATGGGCAGGGCAGAACAAACGGTGGGCCCTAAAAACGTTCAGTCCTACGGAGCGAACCGCTCTGAAACCATGTCAGAATCTATGAAACAGGAATGATTGTATTGAGCAGGAAAAATGATACAAGTACCAACCCTAATTGGTTGTACCCTATATGGGCTACCCCACTACAGCCCAGAGATAACAAACATACGGTATATAGTTTGACAAAGCGTGTGTGTGTGTGTGTGAGTGTGTGTGAGTGTGTGTGTGTGTGTGTGTGTGTCTGTCTGTGTGTGTGTGTGTGCGTGTGCGTGCGTATGTGTGTGTGTGTGTGCGTGTGTGTGTGTGTGCGCGCGCGTGTGTGTGTGTGTGTGTGTGTGTGTGTGTGTGTGTGTGTGCACGCTCACACGTGCGTTCCTCTTACCTTATTTCAGAACAACTTCCAGCTAGCAACAAATGCAATAGCTTTGACGGTACCAAATCTTTCGCAGCTACCGGCATTAGACCCGACGCATATGTTTTGCTCCCATAACCAACGGTGCCGTATTACAAATCCATGCTATGGGTACTTCAGCAAAGGGCAAGCTAAGCCGTTTTAGTGTTCCTTTGACCTGCTAAGCTCTGCTCCCTACGGGTTGCTCTGGAAAGGTTCAGTCATGGTAAGCAAAAGCGGACAGCCCTGCTCCTTCTCCACTACCACACCCAAGCTGCTCAGGATTGTGAATGCCTGCTTTGGAAGGCAGGTGACCGAGGGTAGGCACCGTACATTCTTGTAGAGACATGTCCCAGGTTCGTGAATGCATCCCCTGTAAGCATTATTATGGAAATGGGCAGCGTATGCATACACAATAACCACCAAGAGTTACAATACACAACATGGGAAGACTTCCCCCTGCCGCCGGCCCATTGCTCAGGGATCAGGCTGCCCCTGACATCACGAATTTCACCTGTCTCACTCCATGCCTGGCTTTCAAGCCTCCCCTCTCCCATGATCCAAACTTATGCATTCCACGAAATGAAGGCCTTTCCAGAGCTGCTTCTGCTGCTGCTGCTGCTGCCGCCGCCTCCGCCGCTACTGCCAGAACCCACCCCGCCTAGAACTGCCGCTTCTTGCAAGCAGACGAGGTGCAGTTGAGGTTGGGCGGCAGGATGACAAACGTGACGCCATGCGCCGCCAGGTTCTCAGTCAGCCCAGCGTTGGGCACGCTGAGCGGCGAGGCGAACTTCATGGCGGGGACGGACTGGAAGTACACCTCGTTGGGCTTCACCGTCTTGTTCAGCGGCAGGTTCTGGTTCAGCGTGGGGAACAGCGTGAGCGGCGCCGCGTCCAGCAGCTGCTGCGTGGTGTAGCGCCCCTTGAGCACGTGGTATCGCAGTACGCGGCGCTTCTGCTTGGGCTTGAGGGTGTTCCACTGCGTCTGGTAGCGCCAGTGCCCCACGTTGGTGGGGATCAGCAGTGTCGCCGGCTGGTCTATGTACAGCTGGCCTGATTGGTCTGCGCACAGAAAAAGGGGGGAGGGATGAGGGAAGAGGAAAGAGGGATGAGGGGTGAGCAGAGTCGCCGGCTGGTTGATGTACAGCTGGCCGGATTGGTCTACTCTCGGTGGAAAAGGGGGACTAGGGAGGAAGGAAACACGGGGTTGGAAGATAAATTGATTAAGACTCGAATTGCTGACAGAACATGTTCGTTGGCAAGGATTGTCCTTTACGAACTGGTCGGAGCGAACTGAACCAATTAGACGGGGTCCCAAAGGGTCAGTGAACGAGATCTGAGCCAAGAAGCGGAGCATACACATCCCAAAGGGTTGGGAGCTCACAGAAGTCAGTGAAGATCTCGGCGAAGGAGGAGAGGACGGTCTGCTGCGACACCTGCTGGAGGATCGACTCCGTCTGCGCCTCCCAGTCCACCTGCCCCGCCGCCTGCGCCTTCAGCAGCGCGCTGCTGCAAAGCAGAGACGCGACGAGGAGTGCTGCGACGCTGCTGGCGAAAAATGCCCACGGGGTTACCGCGTTTCGCGCACGAACAGCCATTCGTTCCGCGAGTTGAAGGAAGCGAAACAGACGAGTCCTAGAAGGCGCGGAGGATAGCGAAAGAGGACTCCTTACGAGACGGTTGACTAAGACCGACTTAGAACAAGGCTGAGAATGCTGTGACTGATAGGGCCTGCTTCTGCCAGCTTTATATCATCCCCCGCCCCCACTCTCCTCCCATCTCACCCCCTCGACTCGATTCGACTCGACTGGCTTCGGAGACGGCGGGAGCGCGGCGCATGGGCGCTGGTAAGCGGTGCGAGAGACGAAAGAACCTCTCGCGCGGAGTGAGGGGGGGACTATCGACCAACCATACCTGGAATCAGCCTGGAAGGTTCCATGAATCATAGGTTGGATCGATGTGGATGAGAACAACCGCCTGCTCGCAGTGCGGTACTCTCGGGAACTCGTGCGGTACTGCACGTTGCAGTGCGGTAGGTGCAGACGAGGGGAGAACGGCTACACACTGCCTAAGAATCGCCAATGGCATCGATCCGATCAACTACCGCCGGGCTGCTGCTGCTGCTGTTGGAGGTCGCGTGAGTTAGAAGCAAACGGTGGTGGGGCAATTGATATGCCCCCAACCCACCGAATGTGTTTCGGTGCTCACCGCTTGAGAGAGCTGCAGGTTTCACGAAGTGTGTGGGTTGACTTCGGAAGACCCACTCGATTGGTGCCACATGGCAACACAAGATGAATCGAGACTGAGGGAGAATTCGATTCGGTGAAATTCGAGAGTCGAATTTCACCCCTTCGATGTTACTCGAACATTCGAGTGTACCGCGGTTCGAGGTTACATGTGCGATTCGACGTTTTGCAGTTCATATAAATGTGTTTGATTTTGTATTGCATGATATACTGAACATTCTGAATCACTTTGTATGAAGTGCATTCGAACACAAAATCCAGAGAGATTCCTATCCTTCAACATAGAGCATAGTCTTCACGTTTCCAGCTATAGCTCGCTCGTTTCTCAGGCGAACGAAGCAATTGACGGCTCGTTGGAAAGCTAAGACAGAGCTCTATCGTTTAGAACAATTCCCAGTTCCTGCAAAGTAGAGGAGAGTCCTTTACATCAGCTGCTACTACCAAATACCAACTGTCAACGTGATGTTTGCGGCACTCGGCTCGTATGGCACTCGAAGCCCGCTGCCGCTGGTGGTGATTCCTGGCAGCGATGTCTGCGCGTTCGCTGGTGGGATGTACATTGTGTGCAATGGTTGGTGGTATCAGCTGCGTTGACTCGACAACACAAACTACGCCGTTGACAGGCTCAGCGATGATCGCGCTCAAGTGACGTGGCACTCAGGTGGCATCAGCCGCATACGCCGCCGTGCATTCGGCGACGAGACCCGGCGGTTGATCGCACAAGAGCGAGCGTGAACGAGGCTGCATGCATGTCGCTCGCGAATCGGCGGCAGCGCAGTCTACCGCGGCGATGTATACGCGCACTGCGGCGAATACATAACTAACGGCAAGCGCGGGTGGTGCGGCGCGGAATGTTGGAGCAAGACTGAGAAGATCAAGTGGCTTTTGGGCTTGGACAGGTAGGATGGAGTTCAAGCAGGCCACAGAGATGACGCTTCCGCAGGAATTGGTTTGGTAAGTACTGTAAGCTGCATGTTGTGAGGACTTTCACCTGGGTTCTGTACGGTTGCGAGTCCATCAATGTATGCCTTGCATGCTTGATTGATGGGTGGGGTAGGGTTAGGTTGGTTGAAGTGCGTTGGGGCGGGTTAGGGGAGTGAGGTTGGGACAAGATCTGGATATCCCCGTTTGCAGGACATGGAGCTGATGAGGGATAGGTGTTCTGACAATTCTGCCGGTTGGTATTCCCCTCTCAGGGCCCAACCATTCCTTATGTAAAGAACGAGACATTTTGTAGCGTACCGCACTGAAGCGCAATCAACCACACACGCTCGGTCGACCGAAGCGAAGTGCTTTGTTCTTGACAAATCGAACCACCCGCACCTCCGCCACAACCGTCGGCTTTCGTAAAATTAGTAGCTGCTTCCCTGGACGACCCAAGCTTTCATAGATGAGGGCGTTCTTTTGGCGGTTCTTCGACTTCACCCATTTTGGCGACAGCGCCGCTCAGCGCTGCATGAGGGAGAATCGTGGGGAGGGAATACTACTGTTGTGAGACTGCTTCTATTGCTGCTTCACAGTTACGCACGTATCCTAAAACCTCGCATGGAGGCTGCGGCATACACGGACTGCCTTCATTTCGTCGGCTAGTTTCATAATCGTCGCCGCTGCTGGATTTCCTGTCAGGTTCCACAAGACACAACCACACAGTAGTGCCGCTTATCTATGCCATCTACTCCCTCGCGTCGCATCGGCTCCCACTCGCCACATTCATTGTCTGGCTCTCGTAGCATCCACTCACTCTCCTCGCACCGCCAGCCTTCCAGTTAGGAAATGGACCACAGATGCCCCATACACGGTCTTCCCGAGGAGCTCCTCGTCAAGATCCTTTGGCACTCCTCCTCCAATCAGCAGCCGTCGACCTCCACATGCAGATCTGCCAGCGACGCACTATGGCCGTTGTTGAGTCCCGAACCTAGGTACATCTATGCAGATCCGTCCGTAGATCCACCCGTCCATCCGGTTTTCCATCCGCTTTTCGAGCACGATTACCGTGAGGACGACAAGATTCCGTTACAGTGGCTACCCACTCCTATCCTCGCAGATGCCGCGCGAGATCTCCTCATCGCGTCCGTCTGTTGTCGCTGGCGAAACATTGCTCGCCGCTACGTCACCACGCTTTTCGTTAAGAAGGACGTTGTGGTTTCTCGCCAGGACCTTTCGAACGCCGTCACCTGCTTCGCGGATCTCACCCATCTCCATCTGAGCGACAGCAGCGTGGAAATCTTAGACGATGCCTTTTTCACCCACCTCGCCACGTCATGCGGTCCTAAGCTGACAGCCCTCCACGTAGGACGTCAAATCACACATACGCTGGGCAGGTACCATCCTCACTGCGATTCGAGGATGGATCTACACCCCGTATCCGAATCTGGGTTAGATCATTTCTTCCGGAATTGCTCTCAGCTGCAGCAGCTTTCCCTTTATTGCCTTCATCCACACGCAAAGCTACCGGCTTCCTTCTTCCAACTAACTGATATGCACACCCTTGTGCTGACAGACGCGTCCGCGTTAGAAGCTCCTGACCTGGCGAATCTCACTTCCCTCACCACCCTCCTTATCGCATCCCTGAATCTCACGCGCGAGCAGCTCTCCAACCTCGTTCGCCTGCGCAACCTCACCAGCATTTCCATCTCGCCAATAACGCAAGTTGACCACTCGGCTGCTCTCCCTATCGCACAGCTTCCCAAGTTAAAGTCGCTGGAATTCGCGGGATGCTGTCCTGGGTTGTTCCCGTCAGGAGAACCGAGCAGCAGCGTCGAGCGGCTCGTCATTTCCATGAAACCACGGAGAGACGATGAGCAGTTTGATGAAACCGTGGAGCTTCCTAACGATATTGCACAGCTGCTGCCGCGCCTTCGAGAGCTCACCATTCGCGAGTGCGAGAAGTTTTCCGAGCTGCCCGAGAGCTTCGCTTCTTTCAGCAATCTGGAGAGTTTGATTCTCTCCGCCTGTGACGAGTTTCGCAACCTGCCCGAGAATTTCGGGCAGCTACCTGTTCTGAAAGCATTGGTCCTGAACGCAGCGTATTTCCCCGAGCTTCCGGACTCCTTCTGCCAGCTCACCTCCCTGGAAACTTTTATCATGAGCGAGTGTGGTGAAATGGACCAACTCCCTGACGGATTTTGCAACCTCACATCGCTTCAGACCCTATGCATTATGCACATAGAAGAATGGGAAGACTTCCCCATTCCAGAGTGCATTGCAGGGTTTCCTCAACTTCATACACTTTATTTGAAGAGGGTTTCTGTGCATCAACTCCTGCCGTCACTCCGCCGGTTGACTTCCTTGACTCGGCTTGAACTGGACAGTTGCCAGATGGAAGAAGATCTCCCTCGGGATTTTGGGAAGCTGAGTAACCTGCAGCAGCTGCATATCCGTTCCTGCCCAATCAAGAAGCTTCCAGCGTCCTTCACTGCTCTCACCAGCCTTCAGACCCTCACAATCGAGTATTGTAGTCAGCTCAGTTCCATTGCAGGGAGCCTGGACAACCTGAAAAGGCTCAAGCAGTTGGAGTTGACAGGTTGTTGCATGCTCACCGGACCTCTCAACTTCCTTCCTCGCTCTCTGGAGGTCCTGAACTTAAAGCTCCCCAACCTAGTTACCTTCCCGCGAGATCTCTCTACGCTGATAGATTTAAGAAGATTGACTCTGAAGCTGTATGGGAAAGGACAAGGAGCAACCGGAATCGGCAGCAGCAGCTCACCTCATTTGAAACTTCTGGAGAATGTGGAGTATTTGGATTTGACCATTGGAGCGGCTGTTGAGAAGTTTCCGTTCCCTCGGTTTCCATTCCCGCGGCTTCGCACCTTGAAGATCTCATTTGGGGATCAGATTCAGCGGCTTCCAAGCAACCTCGGGTTCGACCTGCCGCAGCTACGGCAGCTGCGGTTGCACTTCACCAAGGGATTGACAGCGCTGCCAGAGACCATCACACGGCTCCAGCACCTCACATCGCTGGTCATAGACCACGCATCCCAGCTAGCCTCCCTCCCGGATGGCATTGAGGCCTTATCCAGGCTGAGGATCCTTCGCCTGTCCCACTGCTCAGCACTGCAGCACCTCCCCTCCTCCCTCACCCGTCTCACATGCCTTCACGAGCTGAATGCTAAGGGGGCAGGCATCCGCGCCCTTCCTCCCAACATGGCTCAGCTGTCCCGGCTGAGGAAGCTCTATTTGGGAGGGTGCAAGCAGCTGCAGGCGCTGCCAGAGTCCTTGACTGACCTCACGATGCTGTGGTTCATGGGGATAAAAGGGAGTGACCGCGCGATTGACAGTGTGAGCGACCAACAGGAATGTCGCTACCATCGAATGTATGACTTGAGGACAGATTCCGCTGGTCAATAGTGCCTCTTGATGCCCAGCTGCTGGTTGGCTTTGGGGCTCAAGGGGAGTGAACTTGGAGTTAACATGATGCCATGGGCTTTTAGCGCAGCACGGATGCACACATTGGACCTGCCATGCCACAAGTTTCTGGTGGAATATGGGGAAATGAGCAGGCTGTTTAACTGGGGTAATTCGTTTTGGCAGCCCGTCTGTGACCAAGTTGGGTGAAGGCTGTCCTTCAAAACTGTGTTCTGGTACTGGATTTGATGAGTGTTTTTTGTGTTACGGTACTTCCGTTATACATAAGCTTTATTGCAATAGACTGCCTTACCCCACTGTGAAAGCTTGTTCAGTGCCCTGGAGGCAACGAAGTTGTTTCAACGTTGCTTCAGCACATGTTGCTGGTGACTGCCTAAACCTGAATCTGGTGCCTACTGCTCACTGAACACTGCCAGTATATTACCTTACAATGACGCAAAGGAACTTGGAACCTCCCTCAGTATTACATGCTTATTGAGTGCAATACAGAAACTGGTACCGTTTTTGCAAATGATTGAGGCCAGGTAGGTGAGAAGCTGGATTTTGGATCAGCACAACACAACACAAGGCAATTGCATTTCTTTCACAACACAGCTTATACGGTACCAGTAGCATGGGTAGTTGGCCATATTGGCCAATCAGGCGAACCTTTTAAAACACAGCGAAACGGAAGAGGCTTCAGAAGTCGTCATCAAAGACAGCAGTGTTGCCTGACTTGGCTGCAAGGCGGATGTTTATGTGGATTGGACGGAGGGAAGGGGGCAGTCAAAAGACAGTGGAGGCTGAACACTATTCTGGTCACGGGAGTCACAGAATAATTCAACAGCAAAAGAATCACCTTTGTGTACCAGTCATCGTTTCCAGCATCAGCAGAAACCATTCCCGCATTCAGGCAATCATATTCTCGTAACCGTCGTTGTCACCATCATCACATCCCATGCACCCATCACCTCATCATCATACCGTTTATTGATCGCAACATTATTCTAGCCTGTCCGTCCCTCTCTGCTGCCTTTTTCAGCCACTCCTTCCCCTGAGCCACACACCATGAGGGTACACACGCAGGAGCATGCAATGAAGGTACACACGCAGGAGCATGCAATGAAGGTACACACGCAGGAGCATGCAATGAAGGTACACACGCAGGAGCATGCGATGAAGGTACACACGCAGGAGCATGCGATGAAGGTACACACGCAGGAGCATGCGATGAAGGTACACACGCAGGAGCATGCGATGAAGGTACACACGCAGGAGCATGCAATAAGGGTGCACACGCAGGAGCGCAGGGGTGTGAACGGATAGCATGGAGGAAAAAATAAAGAGGTGACCAGGAGAACAAGACGGGAGATGAAGGATCTACAGGAGAATGAAAGCACGTAGGACTGGGGCGAGGCATGCAGCCTGAGGAATTATATGACGTTTCCCTCACCTCACCTGACGTTCACCCACATTGATGCGTCACCTCAATAGGGGTATCTAATCCCGAGGTGACTTACATGTCAACTCAACAAAGAAATTCCCTTTGCTCTTCCCTTGACTTGAACACATCGGCTCCAATACCACAACCCCAAAAATCCATTTAAGAAGGCGAATGACAAGCCTTACTTAATAAAACTCCAGCTTAAAATAAGAAAGCCAACAAGGCGTGTTCCCCCCGTTTCCTAAGGGCGTGTCCAGCGCGTACATTTACAGTTCATAAACCCATTCAGTTACCACATTTCCTATTGTAACACTGCATTTTACAAAAAGGTTGGACACGATCAGCTTCCTTTCACAAGACGGCACGCCCGCTGCGCGTACGACGAATCGTCTAACACACGTTACTGGAATCAGTGTGCGCGCGAACAAGGGTACAGCATTGCGTCCTGCCCGCTACAGTAATTTTCGTTCAAGCGTGGAATTTTCGCTTGTGCGTGAATTTCTGTGCGATGATAGACGAGGCAACCAGTTACCTCGTTTCCACGAACTGTAGAAATTTGTGTGCAGAGGGTTGTGTCCGCGCGCTGGAAGGCCCAATCCTTCGGACTCGACTCACCTTATATTCGTTTTTTGGTACAGTGAGATTTTTTGAGCCGGGAAACGTGTGAAGGTACTAATATTCCCAAAATGTACGCGCTGGACACGCCCTAACCTTGCAACCATCGGACTGACTCTTGGAACAATTGTTGAAGCGAGTCTTAAAAAGTTTTATCATGAAGCGCATCCTGAAAAAAGTGAGTCACTCTTTGAGATTGGTCTCACGAGTCATTTTCATCTCTGCTCACCTTGGCTGCGTCCGCCTTGACGCCATAGCCCGAGAGGTACATCTGCGCAAGGAGCGTCTGCATGGGAGCCACGCCGCTCTCCGCCTCGGATTGCGTCTGCCGGAACCACCGCTGCATGCATTCGTGCACCATCGCGCGCAGCGGCACGCGCTGCTGCTGCTCTGACGCTTCCCGCTGCGACTGCGATGCCGGATTGGTCATTGCTGCTGCTTGCGTTGCCGCTGCGTCTCGATTCAACGCCGTGTCTTGTCTCGATGCTGGCTTTTGCCTTGACGTTGACTTCGCGTGCTCCTTCCCCTTATCTGTTCTTTCCTCCATCGTTCCGTGAATCGCGCTATCGTTGTTGTTCCGACCGGCTCTTACTACGTCGTGCAATCGTCTCTTTCTACGCACCCGAAATCGTTGTCTAACGCTTTCAAATTACCTATCCTTCTCACCCTCGGCCCCGCTTTTGCGTCCTCGCTTTCAGCGGATGCATGAGATTCAAGGAAAAAAAAAGTTCCTAGCACGTCCGCAACGAGGAGCAAGCTAAAAGATTATTGGAGTAGAAGCATAGTCAACTGATGTCGGTGCGAACGATAGTACAAGACACGCGCCCGAGAGAGAGAGAATAAAAGCGGGCGAGACGTGAACAATGCGTGGTAGTGAGACACGACTACCCTAACGTCGTTCTGAGCTCCAACAGACGACAAGCGCTTCGTTCGAAAGATCAGTCACTATTAAGCACCACCTTCAATCTAAACTGCCGGAACACTCTTCAGGAAACGCACGGAAGTACGGCGAGTTCGACGAAGTTACGCGGTAACTCCAGCCTGACAGAATGGAAGCACCTACGTATTGCTGAATTAGGCTGTGTAATTCCCGTGGCGCTAGTCTGACGGATAGTCGTTTCTAGGGCATGTGATAGAGAGCTAATCTGGTGTGTAACACGTGCGTGTCAGAGCGGCACAATTAGGGCGGGTCCAGCACGTACGTTTACAGTTCATCCTGTGCGGTTGACCTTGTTGCGTCACGGTTAAAAACGGTGGAAACTGCAAATCGCTTTGAACCGTTTGATATCGTTTTTGCGCCATGGGTCATGAATTGTAAACGAACCGTAAACGTACGCGCTGGGCAAGCCCTTACATCTCTATACAACGGTCGGGTATGGTTACGAGGAATTGTTGAACACTTGGAAACAGGCGTGTTCCTCCAAAAACATAATCCAATTCGCCTCGACCCCTTCCGTCGATTCGCTCTGCATGTCGCAGTCACAGTCGCAGTCGCAGGGGCACGGACAGCATTTCCGCCGACACTCGCAAATTGATCGAGCCTTGTGACGAAAGAATCGTGCTGATTGCTGGTAACTGATGCTGGCGAAAGACCTGTTACGGTGGGGGAAACATTGCCCGGACAAGTACACCTACAAACATCATGCATTAGTACAAGCAAGCACCCTGAAAATTGTGACTGAAGACGCCCTGACAGCCACTATCATTCAATATCACGCACACAGATGATCCTCCTTTCTACAGTCAAATCCCAATTTAGTTGGTTAGGCCATGGAATGCTGTTGAAGCTTATCAACTAAAAATAATATCACCCTGAAATCTTCTATTAGTTGAAGGGGCAGAGGCAAATCTATTCAGGAGCCATGAGGTTACGGAATGTGTTGCTTGAGAGCTCAGAATCTGTCACACCCATGTTGCCGTCCATGATGTCGCGCCGGCTCATTCCTCCTGTTTGTGTCTTGCGCATCATTTGCACAAACTCGTTGTAGTCAATGGTTCCATCCTGCAAGAGAGAGCGAGCGAGGGGTGGGTTGAGCACGAATTGGTGCGGGGAATTGTGAGCATGCAGCCAGAGGAAGAAGCAAGCTGTTTGTGTCTTGCGCATCATTTGCACAAACTCGTTGTAGTCAATGGTTCCATCCTGCAGGAAAAAAGGCAAGGGTGGGTTGAACAGGGAATGCAAGGTCATCACTCTTAATTGCGAGCATGTAACTAGTGAAAGAGGCAAGGCCCTCGGATTGGCAAACACAAAAGCACCCCCAACCTCACAACAAATACACACACCCAGTCAGTCGCGCTCTCATTGATCTCTTCCTCCTTCCATTATGGCCATATCTCATCCTTGTTCAGTTGCATCCCCTCACATGCCCCATGTTCCAATTCTCCCGGTCCTTCCACACTGCCCTTCCGCCATGTCACAGCTTGCCCATACCGACCCCCAACCATAACCACACTCACACCCAAACCAGCATACACACGCTCACACACACCCACACCCACACTCAAGCCCTCAGGATATTGACTCACATTGTTCTCATCAATCTCCTCCATCATCCTAATCTCATCCTTGCTGAGATGACTACTACATTGTTGACTAGGAGGACACACACACAACAACAGGAACCCACACACCCACACCCACACACCCAGCATGAGACTCACATTGGTCTCATCAATCTCCTCCATAGCCATGATCTCGTCCTTACCGGCAGCTCCTCACATCCCCACAGCCATTTTCGTGGCTCGCAACCAGGCCACACCCCCACCGCCACAGGTACAGACACACACACTATGGAACAGGCAACTCACGTTGTTCTCATCGATCTCCTCCATCATGGCCATGATCTCGTCCTTGCTGAGGTTGACTCATACGACACCCACCCACACCCACACCCCGCATCCACAACTACAGCACTCCACACCCACTCACATTGTTCTCATCGATCTCCTCCATCATGGCCATGATCTCGTCCTTGCTCAGCCGCAGCTCCTCACACGCCTTCTGCAGCTCGTCCAGCGTAATGGTGCCACTGCCGTCCGCGTCAAAGTACTCAAACGCCTTGAGCAGGTTCTCCTGCTTGTCTATCTTGCTCAGATGCAGCGTGGCTGCTAGGAACTCCCCGTATTCGATCTCGCCACTGTGGTCAATGTCCGTCTGCGTGGGAAGAATGGGTGAGAAAAAAAGACGAGGAGAGGGGGAAGACGAAGGTCCACCATCACCTCTACTTATCCCAATCGCCACCACTTTACTGTCCTGCCTCCTGAGAGTGAGATTTTGTATTACCACCACCACACTCTCCATACCTCACCTCTCCAGTCTCGCTCACCTTTTCATAAAACTATATTTTGCTTTGCCCATCATGTCAGCCCCCCAAACCTTCTAGAGCCACACATCCTCCCCACCCTCACACTCTCCCTCATCCCCACTTCCCAAACTCCTGCATAATCTTCTCAAACTCCTCGTCTGTCAGGTTTCTCCTAACCTTCTTTGAACCCTGCACGGAGCCCCTCGTCTGTCAGGTTTCTCCTAACCTTCTTTGAACCCTGCACGGAGCCCCTTGTCTGTCAGGTTTCTCCTAACCTTCTTTGAACCCTGCACGGAGCCCTTTCCACTCTCGCCTTGACGTTCTCACCCTACAATCCTCACCGGAACCTCACCACTCCTCACCTCCTCCATGATCTTCTCATCCGTCAGGTTTCCCCCAGCCTTCTTGAGCCCCACACGAAGAATTTTCCGCTCTCACCTCCACGTTCCCACCCTACTTCACTCCTCATCGCACCCCCCCACCCCTCACCGGACCTTACCGCTCCCCACCACTGCTCACCTCCTCCATGATCTTCTCGATCTCCTCGTCTGTGAGGTTCCCGCCAACCTTCTTGAGCCCCACGCGCAGCTCATCCAGAGTGATGGTGCCACTGCCATCCGTGTCCATCATCTCAAACATCTCCTTCAGCCCTGCGATCTCCTCCTCCTTCAGACCCTCTGCAATGACCTGTTACACATACATGGAGGGCAAGTGGCAGGGGGCGATTGGGTGCAGTGTTGCATCGTGCAAGGAAAATAGGGTGCATGGTGCGTAATTGCATGGGATACATGGTGCGTAATTGCATGGGATACATGGTGCGTAATTGCATGGGATACATGGAGTGTAGGTAGGGCGTATTGCTGCATGGGAGACATGGTGTAGGCAGGGTGTACCGCTGCGTGTAAGACATGGTGTAGGTAGGGAAGTGGGTGTATAGTTGCATAGAAGACATGGTGCATAAGGCATCATCGCCGCTATCCTCTCCTTCAGCCCTGCAAACTCCTTCTTCAGCCCTACATCATCCTCCTCCTTCAGGACATGTGCTATGGGCTGGGCATATCAAAGCAAGCAGGCGACCTGTTTGAGCTTCACCCTGAATGAACCCACACTGCTTCAGTCACCTCACCACAGTTATCCATGCTCTCATCCATCCAGACCACTGCAGAGTGCTCTCCATTGCGCTACACCACTCTGCACACACCTTCATGGCGACGCGCTAAGCTGGACCACGGACGTGAATTGCCTTGGTTCAGCCTTCAGTCACCTCACACGCTATCCATGATCTCACTTCTCCAAACCCCTGCGACCTGCTCTTCATCACTCTACACCACTCTGCACCCACCTTCATGGCGACCCGTTTGAGCTTGACCATGGACGTGAACTGCTTCAGTCTGGACAGCACCACGGGCGGCAGAGGCTCCTGCGTGGCGATGCCGGGCTCGTCCAGCCACGGATGGCCTGTAGGGGGGGGGGTCAGGGAGGGTGGGAGGTGAAGGGAATTCTGGTGAGGGGGAAAGAGTAGATTGTGAGGGGCACGGGAGGGGTGCAATTCAAAATGAGAGACGAACAGGGGTGACGATCAGAGCAGCACAGAGGCGACTGTGTGGCAATCCCAGGCTCGCACAGACACGGATGGCGAACACCGTGGGGATCAGGGAGGGTGGGAGAGGGGGGCGGGAGGGGGAGAGAGGGAGAAGGGGGAGGGGTGGGGGGGAGAGGGGAGACTATGGTGGGGGGAAGAGTACTTCGTGCGGGGCACTCACAGAGCACCTCGTGCACGGTGGGGCGCATGGCAGCACTCACAGAGCACTTCATGCGCGGTGGGGCGCATGGCAGCACTCACAGAGCACTTCATGCGCGGTGGGGCGCATGGCAGCACTCACAGAGCACTTCATGCGCGGTGGGGCGCATGGCAGCACTCACAGAGCACTTCATGCGCGGTGGGGCGCATGGCGGGGTCGGACTGCAGCATCCAGGAGACGAGGTGCTTGGCCTGGTCTGAGATGTCGGGCCACGGCGGCACTGTGAACGACGGGTTGCCCTTGAGCACCGCCTTGAAGATCTCCTTGGACGAGTGGCTGCCTGCAGGTGGGGAGAGGTGGGGAAGGGTGGGAGGCAGCAAGGAGACGAGTGGGTTGAGACAACACGTCCATGCCTGCTAGAGAGGAGAGGAGAAGGACTGTTGCCCTTGAGCACGGCCTTGATCTCCTTGGACGAGTGGCTGCCTGCAGGTGGGGAGGAGAGGGAAGACATAGTGTGTGGCAGGGAGAAGGTAACGTGTGGTAGAGAGGAGACAGTAACGTGAGGGAGAGGCGAGAGGATGGGGAAAGGGGAGTCTCTGGAGGGTTTGCCAACGAGGCGATGGCAATGCCACACCATCAGGAACCCTATTCTTGGGTAAACAGGTGGGAACTAGATACTGCGGAAGAAGGCACGACGTTCCAAGGGCAGAGAGTGTACATGATAAGCTCTAGCCTGCCCCCCCGCACGCCCCCCTTTCCCCCCATTCCAGTTGTGGTGCAAGACGTACTGTGGTAGAAGGGAGGGAACCCCGAGAGCAGAGCGTAGATGATGACCCCCGCGCTCCAGATGTCCACCTCGGGGCCGTACTTGGGCGGCTTGGTTTGAGGTGCCTCAGAACTAGGCTCACCGTGGCACAAGGCAAGACGTACTGTGGTAGAAGGGAGGGAATCCTGAGAGCAGGGCGTAGATGATGACCCCCGCGCTCCAGATGTCCACCTCGGGGCCGTACTTGGGCGGCTTGCGCCCCGCCCCCAGCGCCCCCGGCCTCCATCTGACCACCTCTGGCGCCATGTACATGGGGCTGCCGCAGTGGCGGCTCAGACCCTCGCCTGGCACGACGCGGGGAGGGCGCGGCGTTGGAGTGAAGACGAGACGAGACAAGACAAGGGACGGGGATAAGGGATGCATTCAGGGGTCTACGCAGGCCTCCATCTGACCACCTCTGGCGCCATGTACTTGAGGCTGCCGCAGTGCCGACTCAGACCCTCGCCTGGCACGACGCGGGGAGGGGGTTGGTTCGTGTCAAAACAAGAGAGAGACAAGAAAGAGACAGGGTTAAGGAAAGAGTAAAGGAAGGACATGGGGCAGTGAGGAAAGGAGTGTTGTGGGCGTAACAAGACAGGCAGGAGGAGCATAAGGAGGCGAGAATCAGGAGAAGTTTGGGGGAAGGGGGGGAGGGAGGGGGGAGGGAGGGGGGAGGGGAGGGGAAGGAGAAGTCAGTGGTTTGAAGCTAGGCGCCGTGCTCAGGAGAGGTGAGGAGGAAGCTATTATGAGGCGACCACAGACAACCAGCCAGTCAGCCAGCATAGAAAATAGTTATTCAACGCGCCTCAGAAACTCTCTTGCATAACCAACAAGCGCAATAGACACACCTTTGTAGAAGGCAGAGGCCGAAGTCGGTGGCCTTGAGCTCGGCGTCGGGGTTGGTGGAGGAGAGGAGGAAGAAGGCAGTTAAGAGGCGCTCCCAAACAGGCAACTGATCAGCGGGCAAAGAAACGCACCCTTGTAGAAAGCGGAGAGGCCGAAGTCGGTGGCCTTGAGCTCGGCATCGGGGTTGGTGGAGGAGAGGAGGAAGTTCTCGGGCTTGAGGTCGCGATGCACCACGCCCAGCGAGTGGCACGTCTCCACCACCCGCACTATCACCCTCGCCAACTCCGCTGCATCGTGCTCGCTGTGAGAGGGAAGGAGAGGAGAGGAGAGAGAGGCAAGGAGGGAGAGGGGAGGAGAGGAGAGAGAGGCAAGGAGAGGAGAGGGAGGTGAGGAGAGGAGGGGAGAGGAGAATGACAAGGTAACCCAACAGTTCTGTTCAGAACCACACGTACCAGTTCAAGTGCCTGGTGGAGTTGAGAGTTGTGGTAACACACAGCCCATTTACATCACATGCACAATGTGATGACGCAATCAAAGTAAAAGATGATGCAAACGCCTTATAACAATACGGGCACACTTTTTCACAAGACTGACGTGTAGCACACTCTTCGACGAGAGTCACGTCTTGGGCACGACTTACGACGAGAGCACGGCTTATAACAGGACTCACGTGCGGACGGGTTATAACAGGACTCACGTGTAGGGCACGGCGTAACGGGACTCACGTGTAGGGGACGGCTTATAATGGGAATCACGTGTAGGGCACGGCTCATCACGGGACTCACGTGTAGGGGACGTCTTATAACGGAGCTCACGTGTAGGGCACGCCCACGGCTTCGATGCGGTCGATGATGGTGCCGTAGAGCTCGCCGCCCGTGCAGAGCTTAATGGGCTGTTATGAGGACCTTATAACGAGACTCATGTGTAGGACTCACGTGTAGGGCACGCCCATGGCCTCGATGCGGTCGATGATGGTGTCGTAGAGCTCGCCGCCCGTGCAGAGCTCCATCACAATGTGCACGAAGTCGCGGTCCTCATACGCCCCGCGGATGTTCACTATGTTGGGCGAGTCCTGGTGAGGAGGAACGGAATGAAGGGGATGAAGGGAGGGTGAAGCGGGTGTGAGGAGACGGGTGTGAGTCACGAACCCTGCGGACGTTCACGGCGCTGGACTGGTCCGCGCGGGGGGAGAGCAGAATTGCACGGGGGTACAACAAGTCGCGGGATCGCCCTCCAGAGCAGTTTTTCCGCGCAATACGGATAAGGCTGATTCATAGAGACGAAATTGAAAGATTTTCTCCAGCTTTAATCGGCACTACCAGTCGAGTGTCACAGGCGCGGGTGCCGCGCAATGAGATGTGCGCGAGGACCGTGAGGGTCTTCTTTCGAAAAGACGGGTCAACATACCCCCACGTCGACGACCTTGGACGGAAACCACGCACCTTCACAAAATCGAACCCGCACGAAATCGCACCTGCACGTGGTAGAGAATCGCACCTGCACGTGATAGAGAATCGCACCTGCACGTGGTAGAGAATCGCACCTGCACGTGGTAGAGAATCGCACCTGCACGTGGTAGAGAATCGCACCTGCACGTGGTAGAGAATGGCGACCTCTCGGCGCACGTCCTCGACATCATCCTCCGTGAGCAGCTTGGACTTGGGGATGGTCTTGCACGCCCAGTGCACGCCCGTCTCGCGCTCCGTGCAGATGTACGTCGTCCCGAACTGCCCCGCGCCCAGCTGCTGCCCGATGTCGAAAATGTCGTGGATGTTCTCTGATCGACGGGCAGAAGAGTGGTTTCGGGAAATGATGCGGAAATAGGGTTTGTTCGAGTCGGGAATGGTGATTGGGGATGTAGGAAATGGTTGAGGGATATAAAGTGAATGCTTGCTGATAAATGTCAGGAGGATGGAAAAAAAGGGTTTGCATGTCACAGGAAAGGTGAAAGACGGATAGACGGACGGGAGCTCCCTGACAGACGGATATGAAGATTTTTGGGAAATGCAGTGAGATGGTTTGCTCGAGACAGGAAAATGTTCTGAATGCGCTGTGTTTAATCATGAAGTGTTTAGGTTGGGGGGACATGGCTTGAATGTTGTCCGTCTGTTTCCACAGGAGATGCAGTAGACATGTATTGCACTTGAAGCAGGAATGGTTAACGAAAGTGCCTTCAATGCTAAATAAAAGTAGTCGTCGGAAATGCTGCGAATCTTCACTACTCACAACGAAATGGCTCGAGGAACTAGATGGTAATGAGAATGTGCTTCGCGGTAGAAAAAAAACACAATCAGGTACAACGAGCCGACATTACAGACGTCGCATGATATGACGTTTTGTGAAAGGGGGTCGGGGGTGGAGTTCGGCTATGATACTCAGAAGCGGGAGGTAATGGACGCACCATTATGGCCTGGCCCGAGCACGCTCTTTGTTGATGGTCGAGATGACTTTCCCTGCACCCGTAAACAAGAATAAACAAGGCAGAGTATCGAACGGCCATTTCACGCACTGAGGAAACCATGGATGCTGTGAAGCACAATCTGCAGAATGCCAGAAAACACCCGGCGCGGTAAGGCCTCTTTGCTAAAAGTTAAACGGTACGAGGACTGACAACCACTGTCCGGAAAAAAAATAGTTTTTGAAGATGTGACGACCGACAACGCATTTTCCGGAGTAAAATAAGGAGCAAATCAAAGAAGCCGGTCTATTTGCTCGTAAATGCATACGCTAAGTGCGGGCAATGGAGCAATGTCCTACATTATGTTGACGGACATGACGACTTACCGACGACATCCTGGAAGGATCGTCTGATTGCTCAGTCACAGCAGCAATCCGTTTAGGCCAGAAAGTGCAATGACGTTAACTATTGCCTCATACCAGTGACGAGATAAATCTTGTAGCGCCTTTAGGAATATAGACAAAAGCTACAACCAAGAATGTCAATGGAGGTAAGGGCAGGAGATACTAGGGAAGTCAAGTGGAATAAGGACGTGTAACTTTTTCCGTCCGTACCGTATGCGAACAGGGTCCCGCTCACGGTACGTACCGTCCAAGCTCGTTATCGAATTGCAGATCATGCGGGTTTTGACGAGATCCGGATACCAATTTCGTATACGGTACGGACGGTCAAAAAGAGAAAAAGTTACACGCCCTAATGAGAAGTGAGGGGCACAACAAGTGAACTAGGTGTGATGTGAAGAGGGAGATTGGCATCTCACTGTGTGTCTGCCATGGTGTAGATTTTTCTATCGTACTGTACCTTGACAAACCGCTATTAAACGCCGGACTTCGAGCCCGCCGAGTCAGCGGAAAACGACGAGGGGGCGCGTGAGTTGATGGTGGGGCGATGGCGGAACCTAAGGTAGAGGGACGGGAGATGGGGAGAGTGAGAGTTGCGGTGAAGTGGGGGAATTGGCGCGCCAGCGCCCAGATGATGAGACCTGGCCCCTGGGAAAGGTGGTGGCAGAGGCTTGCGAAAAGTGGGGAGAGACGAAGCCGAAGACAAGCGCAAGAGACAGGAACGCGGAAATGGTCTTGTGGGGAGGGATAGAAGGACCAACCCGACACTGCTTGCGTGGTGAGGTGAGTGACGTGGCAGCGCAGATTTTGGATGTAAGCAGATTGATTGCTTTTTTGTTGATTTGGTAAACCCCTTGACCAATCCAGGCTAAAAAAACGAAATAGATCGTCGGCTGCGTTCTGCAGGCACCACAGAGTGGGGGGAGATGGTGAATAGGCAGCTTCCTCCCACTGTGTTTTTTGGTCCGAAAGAGCGGTCAGCCCGAAAAATGATGCCGAGCCTTCCATATTCCCTCCGAACGTAAACGAAGGGAAATGGCGACAGAACAGCCATTTACCCTCACGTATATGAACACCTAGGAAGCCGCCAATTTCCCCTCCCCACCTTCTTTCACAGGCAAAGCTGCTTGCCGTGGCCTTGCCCTCCGTAAACCGCGTTTCACGGGGAGGTGCAAGGTTGGGAGAGGGAACAAGGTTGGAAACTGGATGGTGTGTGTGCTGGTGGTTTATTTTCGCATCTGAACACCCACGCGAATAATTAGCCCTCGTTCTACATTCGCGCCGATATATCTAACCCCGCTTTGTGCTGGCGATGTTGTGCAGGCGGGTTCCTCATATACCGTTTGAACCTTCCAACCGTGCAACCGAATTTTCCTACTTTTTGTTGTAGCGGGGTGGGGGTGATGTTGACATTGGAAATGCGCAGGAACCCTCGTCATTACCTTCGCCCCCCCTCCTCCCCTCCCCGGCATGTGCCTACAGAACTAGCTGTTGTTTTGGGGACACATCCACAACCACCTAGTCCCTCCAGCCACTAGGAACACCTTTCCCTTGCACAAGATTACCCTTCACTAATCTCGCAGATTTTCGACAATTTACTGTTACAATCCGAAGTGGGACTTAGCAAAGGATCGCTCAGGGTTGATCGCATGGTAATGTTGCAGCGGAAGTGTTGACCTCAGATCAGAGTGAATGTAAATGACTGAGATTAATAATAGCATGCATACATCGAGTTTATATAGGAAATACAAAGGAATACGAAACGACCTAGACTAGCCATGTACTCTAAGGGGTACATTCCCTTATTAAAGTGGAATTCAAACCGTGCGGCGCGGGAACCCGTTTCAAACCTGTTCCCGCTCGTTTCAGTTCAAATGTTTCTGCCTGCATCGGTCTTGGTCAGACGGTTACCAGCGTCGCTTCGACTCTTCTGACTCCTCGACTTCGTACTCGGTAGAGTCGGCTCCTACAGCATACAGGAATGCCTTCTCATAAAGTTTCATATCGTAACACTCCCCTTCATTCCTGGGAGCGCAGAGGGCTGACTCGCTTGACTACTCCGGTGAGGTCAGAGCAGTGTTTGTACTGCTGACGTGGCAGTCGCTTGGTAAGGAAGTCGGCTGCCATCTCCGTGGTGGGGCATACGTGAGGTCAACCTTGCCCTGGTCAATTTAGTCCTTGACGAAAAAATACCGAAGCGCGATGTGCTTCGTGCGGTTCACGAACCCTGGCTTGTTCGCAATCTTGATGACGCTCTGGTTGTCGAAGTGAAGGCGAAAGGTGGGCGAAGATGAAATTTTCGCTTCCTGCAGCAGCTCCTGCAGGTATAGACCTTCGCGAACTGCTGCTGTTGCGGTGATGTATTCTGCTTCGGCCGATGGCAGGGCAACCAGTTCCAGATTTTGTGAGTTCGAGGAGATTGATCCTGTTGGCTCCAGGCGGAAGATAAAGCCGGTTCGTGACCGTCGATTTGCAGGATCAGCGGCATGAGCTGCGTCCACGTAGCCGTTGAGGTTGAAGGATGTTATCGTCAGCGTGGGGTAGGAGAGCCCGGTGTCAGGTGTGGAAATGAAGTACTGCAGGGCGCGCTCCAGGTCCAACTGGTTCTCTGCTACTGGCTTGCGAGAGTACTGTACCAGTTGGCTGGCAATGTACGAAAGGTCGGGTCGGCATGTGACAGAGGCGAATATCAGGCACCCCAGTTGCTGCTGGTACAGTTGGAGTCCTGCGGGCGACAGAGGTTTGTTGTTCGGCTTGTAGTTGGTGCTGGGGTTGCGGTAAGGGGTTGACAGTGGTGCCGGTGAGATGTTGAAGCGTTCCCCCAGCTGCTCTGCGTACTTGGAGGCTGACAGGTGAATTGCTTCTGGCGCGTAGGTGATGTTCAGGCCCAGAAATTGCGTGACGTTGTGGTTGATAGTGATATCAACGTGCTGTGCCAGGTTCTCTTTGAACTGATTAAGGAGCTTGTTGCAGGTGCCGGTGTACAGCAGATCGTCGACGTAGACAGTCAGGAGGATGTAATCGCCGTTGAAGTGAAGGCGGTACATTCCCGGGTCGTGCAGCAGCTGCCTGAAGCCGATTTCCAGGAGGATCTTGTGCAGGTGCTGTTGCCAGAGACGCGGCGCCTGCTTTATCCCGTAGAGGGATTTTTCTAGCTGACAGACCCTGGGGTCTCCTTCTCCGTAGGTGTGTGGCTGCTCCACGAAGATAGTTGCATCCACCAGCGCGTACAAAAACGCGTTCTTGACATCGATCTGCCGCAGTGGTAAATGCTTAGCGGTGGCAATGGCGAGTAAAATTCTGACGGAGGTGTGACGGCTGATGGGAGCGAAGGTTTGATCAAAATCAATGCCGTGGCGCTGGTCGTACCCGCGTACGACCCAGCATGCCTTGAAGCGCTCGATAGTGCCGTCATCGTTAGTTTTCAGGCGAAAAAACCAACTTTCCGCTTAGCACCCTCCTCCCCTTCACTGCTGCACGATCGACTAGGACCCATGTATCACGTGATTCCAGTGCCCTCAGCTCCGCGTCCATAGCGGCACGCCACTCCTTGGCGTGAGGACCGGTTAGGGCCTGGCGAGGGTTCTTGGGCTTGACGGCGCGTGTGAAGGTAGTGACGGACGTGTGTAGGCCGAGAAGCTGCAGGCCGGACACAGTGGTGGTATCTGTGGTGGTGACCTCCACCACATCATCATCGTCACTCTCGTGGGCAGTTGCGGTAGTGCTGGGCTCGATGTGGCGACGTGATGGTCCTGGTGCGGGTGCGTCGTCGTCATCGTCATCGTTGTCGTCATTGCGCGGGCGAGGCGGAACGCCTGGATGTTCGTCGGGGGGGTCGCGGTCGAGTACTGCTGCTGCTGCTTCGTCTTCTGGAGATGCAAAGCTGCGACCATTGTTGGCGTAGGCGCGTGCGACGTTGCGGCGCTCGTCCTCGATCCACTGTTTCAAGGTGAGACACTCGTAGAAGAGAACGTCACGAGCGGGGACGATCTGCTTGTTGTCAATGTCAAGAATCAGCCAACCCTGGTACTCGTGACTGAGCCCCAGGTGGACTCCCCAGCGTGCGCGGTGAGTAAACTTGCCAGTTGTGGCCGAAGTCGGCTGATACTGCACCATGCACCCCCGGACCCTTGAGCCGGTCCACTTCATGTGTGGAGAGAGGTTGCCCCTGTTGGCCGTTGTGGAGAGAAGGTTGTGCAGGCGCACAGCGTGGTTCATGGCGTACGGCCGATATTTCTTGGGTAAGCCGGACTGATTCACGAGTGTGCGCACTTTCGTCATGAGAGTGCGATTAACCCTCTCAGCGACGCCTTGCTGTTGGTGAGCGTAGGGGAGAGAGATCTGATGCTTGATCCCCTTCTCTGCGATAACGCTCTCCAGTTCGTTGCTGCGAAACTCCTTGATGCCATCGGTTTGCCAGATTTTCAGCTTTATTCTCGATTGTCGTTGTGCGTGGGCGAGCCAGATGCAGAAGACTTCAGGAGATTTTGAGCGAACATCGACGTTGGCGATCCACACGTGGCGTGAGTATGTGTCCACGAAAGTGAGAGTGTATCGTTCGCCGTTGATGCCGTCGAAGGTGAGCACGATGAAATCGCTGTAGACTTTCCGCAGTTTCTTGTAGCGATTGGTACTAGGCTCCAAGGAGGGGTTGTCTTGGTGCGTGAGGGCCGCAGTGGGACATATGGTGCAGGTGGTTGGGTGTGACGTGCTAAGTGGTTCCGTGCCGTCGGCGCAGTAGTGCTCCTGGCAGAAAGACTTTAGCGCGTAGACAGTTGTTGAATGTCTGGCGCGAAGGGTGGCCGAGTCGCTGATGCCAGAGGTCATCTTCTGCGCGGATTCCAGGAGTGCGCAGGTAACGAGCGTGATGTTCTGCCGCCTCTGCTTCTGTCTCGTGGGGGATTTGGAGCACTGATCCTTCTTCTTCTCCTGGTTATGCTTCGTTGTCCGGCTCCTCTGCTTCTGCTTCTGTTGCTGTTTCCCCCTCTGCAGGT